ACACATAAGAGTACGCGCGCCCAATATTATTGTGGGCAAACCGTTAACGTTCCCGAGCTGAGCGATGTGGTAATAACCGAGGAGCATATTGAGCAGGCTGAAAGGCTCATGATCACTGTTGGACAACTCCTCGATATCGAGCCCATGTATCCGCTTAGAGAGGAGGAAATAAAACAGAAATATGTCCGGGGCCAACCTTTGGTCGAGCCAGACGAGGTCAAGAAGCTCCCAACGAGAATGTATGAATTGCATCAATGGTACATGAACATTACCAAGATTTCCAATCGAGAGTCCCTCATGGTGAATGTCAAGAAGGATCATTACTTCCATGAGAAAGCTATGTCCGTTGAGTATTCAGAACTATTTCAGTTATACAATCAAGACGCACTCGACAAATCTATCGTCAGTTGCTATTGTCTGTAAGTGATTTCTTTCTGTAATTTAAGTCTCAAGCTAGATGTAGTGATCATTTTGATCAATCATTACCTGTAATTATCCTCACTATATTCTTTTCCGTGGTATTATGCAGGATGAAGATGTATGAAATGAAAAAAGGTGCACGCTATGGCATTGGGTTCATTGACCCAAATACAATTAATGAATACACATGGAGCTTAGATACATATTATCGAGCAAGTGTAGAGGAAAGCATGCTAGAGTTCTTCAAGCGCCTCAAATACAATGAAGATATACTACTTCCTTACAACTTCCTGTGAGTCACACTGTCTTGTACTACAAATTCTGTTTTTTGCTTACTAGCTAGCTACATATTTTTGCTTACATATATATGCCCTCTTAATTAAGACATGCAAACGTGTGTGTATGCAGTTTTCACTGGATCTTGTTAATCATTAAAGTTAATGAAGTAATAGTTGAAGTACTGGACTCACTACTTAAGAAACAAAGTGACTACACCATCATGAAGGGGATAGTAAACAGGTAATTTCAATCATTATTAACTATATCTCGGCATATTTAATTAGTTCATCATTTCCTGATAACAACTATTTAATAACCCCTTTATTTATTTTCTTTGTCGGCGGGCAGGGCTTGGGCAAAGTTTATCAACGTCACTCCAGGCCAATGGAAACAAAACCTGAAATGGTATCGACTCAAGGTAAGTAATTAAGTAGTACTAGCTAGCTAGCTGCCATCTCTTTAATTATCATGCTTGATTAATTATTATCTGATCAAATTCCATTCTCGTAAAGGCCTTGAAGCAGGCGCCGGGGAATAATCTGTGTGGATACTACGTTTGAGAGAACATTCGCATGATGGCGTCCGAAATGAGGAGATCTCAAAGACAGGACTTGATACGTTTGTCAGAACACCATTCACAATTTTTACACCATTATCGATATCTAGTCACACAACTAATACACATGCATATTGATCTCCTTCTTAACAGTTCAGAGAGGTGCGGGACAAGCTTCTACCAACGGAGCGCATACAAGCAATTCTAGAGGAAATAGCGGAATTTTTGCTCGACTAGGTCAGAGATACGAACGGAGAATACTATTACCCGCTACCGCCCCCATGAACCACTTCCAATTGTCATCGTGCTCCGAAGGCACCAATTAGGCTAATGCAACTGGCTCCGAAGGCACCAATTAGGAGAAATTGTATATAGCTAGCTAATTACATATATATACATGTGTGTATGTGTGAATTAATGGGGGTTGTGAGACATTCAATGATATATATATATATATATATATGTATATATATATATATATATATATATATATATATATATATGACCGGTTCTACTCGAAATTCTATTTATATATATGCATAACGTGTACAATATGCCGTATCGTAAAATTCCAGCAAACGAAAAAGAATTAAATGGAAAACACACAATTAAATGAAAAAGAAATCATAAACCCAAAACCCCCCAACCTTTTAATACCGATTGGTGTCACCAACCGGTACTAGAGAGCTCCCTGCCCCCGGAGCTGGCTCGTGCCACGTGGTTGCCCTTTAGCATCGGTTCGTGCGGAACCGATACTAAAGGGGGGTGGGCTTTAGTCCCCACAATTTAGTGCCGGTTACGGAACCGGCACTAAAGGGCTTTACAAACCGGTGCTATAGCCCGGTTCTGCACTAGTGGCTGGTGTTGATAGTATCAACATGCCTGATCACAAAAGTATCTCAGTTCGTTGGATTTTTTGCCATGCTGTACTGGCTATCCGAGCATCCACGCTCATTTTGTCGCAGGCTCCTCCTTGCCATCGACCTCCTTCTCAGCCGCCTCCTTCTTCGTTCAAGCGCTTACAATCCTGACACGGATGGCTTTGCACGATCATCCTTGCATCGTCATCCAACTCCTCCATCTTCAAGATCAACATCTTTGAATGTTGTGAAGCGGTCGTGATCTCAACCTTCTTTTCTTCATCCCTGGTTTCCTTCTCTTTGAGCTTGAGCTTCTTATCGGCCAGCGCCACCAAGATGTTAAACCTCTAGGCGGGCCACCCCAGCCCCCCTATACTATGCCCAGCCCCGTCCGTCCGCCCTTCTTTTTGAGCGGCGCCTCCTTTGCCTTATGTTTGAGGTGGCGTGCTTTCCATGTTGCCGAGTTTATCGTTTGAGCGACGGCCTTTGTCGGATCCTCCACTTCTGCACTCTCTGGTAGCATTTCGTATGGCTCAATGCGGCGGCGGCGGCAAAAAGTGCGGGGATTAGGGTTGAAGAGTGGCGGGATGGTATCGGAGAGGGTTGAGAAAGAGGGGAGGGGGGGTTGGTATCGAAACAGTGCGGCCAACTCCAATGCGTGAGCTCCGCCTTAGTTTTGGGTGGACCATGAGTGTCGGGGTCATACGTGGAGGGTGTCCGTACCCCGCAAATCCCCATGGTTTTGTTTTTTTGTTTGCGGGAAAACGGACACACCTGGATTGGCAACAGACAAATGTGGGTCATCGTTGGATGGCTTGCGGTGTCCAGACTGCTCGGCCCAAACACTTGAGGGAGGTTTGAAGGTTCGCATTGGAGATGCCCTAATTGTCATGGAATTGGTGTTAGATGGTCTTGGGTGTGCGCCAATTTGTTGTTTGGATCTCTCTAGAAAACAAGTGGAATCATGTGCAGTGTAGGTAAAAAAAAAGGAATTGCAATTGACAACCATATTTTTGCCATCACAATTTTCTTTAAAAATGCCATAGTAGTTAGTAAACTGCCACGCAGATAATACTAAAATCGTCATGTATATCCATCTCCATGGCAAAAGGGTCATAGCTAGTATGCAAAGCTGGTATGAAATTGACATGTGTTTGTGTGACAATATACTACATGTATATTTGCATGCTTCCCCGCAATTTTTTTTTGTATATTTGCATGCTTGACAAGAAACAATTTGCCACTGCAAAACAAATGTTTGGAAAAAAAATCGGGTAACGATCTCATGATGGATTCAGTGGATGATGTGCGGACTGTTCTGCTCATATATCCAGCTCCTCTTCCGAATCGGAATCTATGAGCTGCTGCTCATCTGTGTCCGCGGGGCCGACGAGCTGCTCACCATGGGCTAAGAAGCCTATAACGCGATCGAGCTCATCGTCGGCCGCGTCATCCGCGAACTGCTCCGGCGGCGCCGATGATCTGACGAAGCTGAAGCACTCCATGATGTCACACCGGCAGGTCGGGCACGTCGGCGCCCGGTGGAACCACCTGAGGATGCACCCACTGTGGAAGGCGTGGGAGCACGGCAGCGCGACGGTCTCCTCGTCCCAGCTGGCATCCTCGTCCACCATACAGATGGCGCACGGCTCGCCGGACTCACGGCGGCGCTTTCGTCCCGTCACCGGAGCCCCGGCATCCTCGGTCTTGGCGGCGGCGGCGGCCTCTTTGCACGCGATGAGCAGCGCCCTGGGCTCGCTGTAGACCAGGGTTACCCGGAGCTCGGGCATGTGGACGTCGAAGTGGAGGCTCGGGGCGACGAAGTCCATGTCGTCGATGTCGACCATCGCGTCGATCTCCTCGCGGACGTACTCGGCGATCGCGATGGCTATGTCGAGGGGCGTGCGGTCCGTGGAGGAATCCATCCAGTTGTCGGCGGCGAGGTCGTACCCGGCGGTCACCGGCGCCTCGGCAAGCATGCTGTGGATGAGGTCGCTGCAGGCCTCCAGGCTGTGGAGGGCGTCGGCGTCGACGACCCTGACCAGGTGGTCGAGCGCCCTGGCGACGGGGTCGGTGGTCACGCCGACGTAGCGGCCGCCGACGCCGCGCAGCCCGTGGGACAGGACCAGGTCGCTGCGGAGGCGCACGGAGCACGGCTGGTCGCTCCGCTTGTGCTCGACTGTGATTGTGTCTTTCCCGCAGAAACGGACGTGGGTCTCCGTCGCCTCCGCTGGGTGCGGCCACGGTGGCAGTACCGCTGCCATGGCAGCCGCCGAATCTGTGTATGCCGAGGGACGGCTGAAGAAGAAAGAAGGCGAGGAGCAGGACAGGTAGCAAGGAATCGAGGCACGTACCAGTGCGGCTGGCTGTGCTTATGAACGCACGGGCACTGGGCAGACTGAATTGGAGTCGGAGTCACCCTCAGAAAAAGAAGAATTGGAGTCGGAGTCGGGTCGCGTGGAGGACATGAGTCGGGCCTCCAATTACAGTGGGCCGACTCCCTGTGTTTATTTTTCTTTTCAGAAAAGTTCAAACTATTTAAAATATTGTTAGAAATTTTAAAAATGTCACTATTTTATAAATTTGTGAATAAATTTATAAAAAAATTGCATTCAAAACATGTTCACATCTTCAAACTTGCTTGGAATTTCAAAAAATGTTGCCGTTCTTCAATTTTAATTGGAATTTCAAAAAATGTTCCCGTTTTAAAATTTTATTCACAAATTCAGGAAAAAATGGTTTCATAAAATGTTCCCTTTAAAAAAATAAAAAAATAAAGAAAAATGTTCGCGGTCAAAAATTGATTCAATTTCCCTAACAATATTCCTCTTTTCAGAAATTTTGTTTATCAATTAAAAAAAATTCGCACTTTTCAACATATTTTAGACATTTCGAAATATATATATACTTTATTCAAGAATGGTTATCTTTTTTTTTCACAAAATTATCCACTACCGTTTGCTACAGTATCCACTACGGTACCACATACCGGACGTTTTGCCAAAAAAAAAGTAACGTGTGTGTGCGTTCGGCCGCCAATCTGCCACAGATAGGAGCTACCGTTTACATGGCTCCCCTCTTTGGGCAGCAGAAACAAGAAAACACAGGAAAAACAAAAAAAAATTAAGTGTCCCAGCCCAACACGAACGAGTGTAAAAATATACTAAACTGAATAATGTTGAAATATCCCTTTGACAAAAAAATTGTCATTAAGTCCTGGAATCCCTCCAAATAATCTACCAAAACAATGAAAAAAATATGGAGGATTTATTTTTCAGGAGCAAGCCAATGGCGTCCCATATTTTTATAGAAGGCAACATATTGATTTACAAGAGAGTCCTTGGCAATTGCTATGCAATTGGCGTCCCATATTTTTATAGAAGGCAGCATATTGATTTACAAGAGAGCCCTTGACAATTGCTATGCAATGCCACTGACTACAATAACTGGTGCATGTTTTATAAATTTTGGGAAAACATGATGATTGGATACATATATTAGCCTTTCAGCACTCCTTTGCCCTTTAACGCAGAATAAGGTGAGGGCTCACTGAACAGACTTTCCAAGGAACAGACATAGAAACTGGTGTGCTGATATTTTGTCTAATTCGAACTGCTACCACGTAAGACTTGACTTGGCACAAACAACATCATCATACAGATATTCAGGTCCCAATAGGCAATAGTAACAGTAGTCCTGCAGCACACGAGGCAAGAGGCAGGGTGCTACTAATCAACTTAAAGAGCACAAAGTAGCACTCATGCACATGCATTTTTTATGTCATGTCCTGAAGAAGTACACATGCATCATTACAGTTGTTGCAAAATTTATTTTAGAGTGCATAGAAATCAAAGAAATGACATAAATGGTCTCAAATGCATAGAAACACTGTTTACCATCCCAAGGATGGATATCTTGGTCCCTCGAGCATGATCATCAGGGTTATAGAGCAGAGGCTGAGGTCCTCTGGCGGCAGATGATATTGTTCATGAGGGAAGAGAAGCTAACTTTGCAGCAGACCATATTGTAAAAACGGTGACACCACTAGCTGCTGGAAGGCATGTTTGGCTATCCACCATACCCGATATTATCCATGTAATTGACGTTATTGAGGTTTGAATAAAGTGTGGTGAAACTCCGAACAAAAAGTGTCCCAGCCCAACAAGAACGCTTAAAAATATATACTTGTACTAAAGTAAATAATGTTGGGATTCCTTTGACACAAAGATGTCATCAAGTCCTTCAATTTCTATGAAAAAAAAGTACCAAAATCATGAAAAAATGAGGATTGCAAATTTTGGGGGCAAAATGACACGATACTATTAGGTGATGGCTCACTGAACAGACTACCAAAGGAACAGAGTTAGAAAAAGAACATAGTGCTAAAGAAGACTTGACCTTGCACAAACAACATCATCATGCAGAAATTCAGGTCCGAATAGTAAAAGTAGTCTTGCAGCACAAGAGGCAAGAGGCAGGGTGCTACTAATCGTTGGATATTTTTGTGGCTTTCAACATGGTTATTATTTATTTAACTCAATGTGGAATTACTCATATTAATAATGATTGTGACTGGGAATAAGTGATGCGGAATTTCACTCGAGGAAATAATACTCGAGGTGCCGAAGACGACTGTGATGGAATACAATAGAGAAATTATTATGGATCGACTCTACTGGAATTTTATATGTACGTACGTATTTTTCCTAGGACATCACGGGGTGGAAAAGCAGGGTTAGTTTTGCAGGACCGGCTCTGAGGCTGTTGACCCACATGATTAAGATTGGAAATTGATCTCACACATACAATCTAATCATGGCACATGACTCACACATGTGTGCTAGGGATTAGTATATTAAGACTCGGAAAACTGACATGTTTTATCGTGGTTGATAACATTGTTCACGAGTCATACGGATCTTTCCGAAAACAGGTAGAATAATAAAACACCTGGAAGTGGAGTCTATAAATAGATCCATACCCTCTAGCCTCAACACGCATTGTGAGCGGCACCACGGATAAGGCAGAGGAATTAGAGGGTAGACCGGATAGTTCACAATTTTCAACATTGGTATCTTGAGCAGGTTCGATCACGGTCGCGCGTAACCCTAATCGCCGGTCAACTCTATGCCGTCATCGATCTGTTCCGCTACGAACTCTGCCTCTCCCGCTGGTCGCTACTAATCGGATGCGACTCTACCGATCTCGTCGATTTGGACGCGGAATCTTGCATGTTCTTTTTCCGATGGCATCGATCTGCCGTCGCCGAGGTCTCACGCGCGCGCACTGCACGGCAGCTTCGCATGCAACCGGTGCGCGTGGAATAAGCAAGGAAACAAGATTCGGCTACATATTGTGCTAATCTCATCTAGTAATACAGGTGGCCTGAGCAGTTGATGCGCGTGGAATCAAGCATGAATTTTTTTAATGCAGAGGAAGCCTAGGGTTCCGTGCACATGTGTTTTACTAGTAATCTTCTATGGCGCACGCACTTGATGGTGCAGGACATGCAACACACGTTGCTAGTCACGGAATTACTGCATTGCAGCTCTACGTTGTCCGCCGTCCGCCGTTTGCCATCTGGCTGGTCGTCCACTATAGCGCCATGTTGATTCGTCCACTGTTGTGTGTCAGATCTATGCATGTTATTCTATCTCGTGCAATAAATCACAGAATTGTTGGAGCTTCTCAGCAGGCTACACTTGATCTGGAAGACAAACAGATTAATCAATCGATTTTGACACGATCGACGGATCGAGGAAGACTAGTCCTCGCTGGCTCGGTGGCTCTCTGTTAAGCCCGCAATCGTGAAGGAGACAAGCAACAGATTGAAAACAAACTGGAAAGGCCAAGCAAACCTGGGAAGGCTACTGTTTCTGCAAATCAGCTTACAAGGATGGCAGCAAGGAATTAACTCGTACGAGTACGCATCCACATGAAGTCTATGCCCACATTATTTTTCCAATGATCAAATTATAACGAGGAAGGCTGGAGTTTCTTGGCTATCTTGATACTTGTGCGCACCCTGATCTGGGATGGAAATCACAAGGAATTAATCTTCGTAATTTCAGCATCTGTCTTCACTGAGTGTATAATTGGTAACACTTTTCTTCCATTCAGAGTTATTTACAATCCATAAATTTAATATCACAGTTTGGAAGATGGAACGTTCATCACATTACTGCTGAAACAAACTGGACAAGGAATGTCGTTATGGAGGAAAAGGAAATATATATTATATGGATATAAAACGGCTTGCATATTTTTTTTGGGCTGTTGAAGTCATAGCGAACATATTGCATGGAAAATTAGTGCAATCTGGAATAATTTTATTTAATGTTATATATATCTTGGAAAATATAGATTGTTGGCTTATATTGCTTATTTCTAACCCTGCCAAATTGATCAAATTAATTGATTTTCCAATTTAACTTCATTTGATACTGTGCAATATGGGACATTATTTGCTCTATGGAGGAAGATTGAAACTCTTCGGGGGAAGGATTTGACCAAATTTTACTGGTTGCACCTCAAAGAGGAAGATATAATATTTTATCAAATCAATTGGCAAAGAGGAAGCAATTCCAAGGAAATGATAAAGTTAATATACTTGGAATTGAAAATTATGCCCACAAACTCCATTGTGGAGGAAAATTATTGTTGATGGATAGACTATTATACTAACCATGCATAAGAAGGAATTCAAAAGGTGTCTATTATGACAATCACTTATTTATGGAGGAAGATGGGAACCACTCATGGGAAATTAAGGAAATTTTCTCTCACTTAACGCTATGCACATTGTTAATATTTGCATTAAATATATGTCAATACTTTTTCAAATAGTTGGAATGTGGATTTAAGCTTCCATGTATTATATTGTTGGAATACAATAGCAATTTTATTGACATCCTAACAATACCAAAGGAAATTATATATATTATGTGTTTTGCCATTGCTGCTAAATCTTATACACTTTGGAATTGGAAATTTTGCCATGAAACTCCTTGATGGAGGAAAAGTATTATTGTTATACGACACACTATATGCAACTTCAGTGTGTAGGGATTTAATTTATGGTTCTATCTTGGAACCCATAGTTTATGAAATATTATTTGGAAAAGGAAGAGCGGAAATATTGCTCAATGATGAAACTAGTACATTGCCGGATTTCAAACAATGGTATATTCTTTCTTGATGGTCCAATGGAAATTAGCAAACCCAATTGTTATTTGGGGAAGATAACTCCATAGAGAGGAATGCTGATGATAATGGGAACACATGCTTGGAATTTATTAATTTTGTCATGGACGACTTGGTCACATATCATGGAACCGAATCGAGTGGCTTACTAATTCCGGAATTCAAAACTTTAGTGGGAGGAATTTGGTTTTCTGAAGCACATATATAATGGGTATTTAACATGCACACCTTTTCTTAAGGTGGAAGGAGATAAGCAGCTTCACATCATTCTTTTATATATACTGACGGTATATTTTTTTTACACTCCCACTAGAGGTTACATTGTTTATTGCATTTCACTCATCGATAATTGCACTTTATACGATTATATGTATACCTTTCAAAATACAAGTCAGAATTTTTGTTGTGCATGTCACATTGTTTACTGAAGTGGGAAATCAGTTGATTAAAGGATTTCACAGTTTTGACAACTGATTGGTGGGGGAAGTACACTTCAGGAATATATCAACTGAATATGTAAAGAGCATGGAACTTCATTCATTGTTGCAATATACCATATACTCCACCTGGATGGAGGAATTGAATTTATTTTTATATATATACTTCCTCGTTGTATGGTTTGTAGACTGGAAAGAAGTATTTTATCTTGGCAGGAAATTCTCAATTAATACAAAGCACACACCAGGAATTTGTTATTTTTTATTCTAGTGGATCAAGGGTATTTATTTGATCTAGAAAAAGAAAACTGGTGGAAAGTAGGAGCATAATGTCTATATGGATGATGGTGGAATTATTGGCAATCATACTAGACTATAATCTTGACCCCGACGGAAACTACAAATGAAACTCTTGACACTAACATGCTTAGAATAAGTGGGAGGAAATAACTTGGAATATCATGTCTGGATAATGATGGCGTGTTTTTGGGGGAAGTGACTCTGAATTCTGAGGAATAACTGAAGGCTCCTATGAAAGCTTTACCTTTCCATCAGTGCAAGCTATGGGTGGAAGGAATGCGGGAAGGAATAAACTCAATGAGGAAGAATAAAGTTTAGGAACTTATTACCTTACCAAACAACCGCAAGCCCATTGTATGTGATTTTTTATAAGAAAATTTGGCTCACTAGAATATTAATTATAATGTCACTCTTGTTATTCAATTCTTTACACAAAGGGAACTATACTTTGTGGAAGTTCTTTCTCTGGAATTTCTGGAAAGAGGAAATAAAGACATGGTTTGCTAATCCAATATATTAATGTATGGTCTTATAAAGCTTCACATCAATGGAAAGCAGGTCATATGGTTTTCTAAATGAATCAAGGCGGTCATCTACAAATTCACATTGATGGAAGTGAAAGCTTGGTCATGTTCTAACTTTCATATGAAAGGAATGTTTGAAGCTTCTTATGTTTTGGGAGTGGAACTACATAGGGAATATTTTGAAATGTTTTCTATGGAAAATTGCAAACTTGTTAAAATACCTTGATAAGGGAAATCATACTCAGTGAGAAATTATGTTTGAACTCGTGAGGAAAAGGGGTTTACTAAATGGTATTGGAATTTTTATATATTTTCATTATACTATCAGCCTTAGCTACCAGAATTTATTGTCGCATTCAAGCGGTGGAAGGTAATATGTCTCGCTAAGGGAATTTCGCACATCATATATGATCGTGGAATGTGCATCACAACCTGTCACTTATTTTGAAGTTTATGGTTAAAAGTAAACACATTGAGGAAGTTACCATTGTATACACGAGGTGTGGAATGATTAAACTCAGGTACGTATATTTCATTTATTTGTATAATAATACTAATATAGTGCAGGTTCACTGACTATAGTCAGGAATTCTTTTCAAAACATGTTTGCACATGGAACTTCATTTATTGATTAAATATGTTTCAGCCAAGTGGGAGATGTTGGATATTTTTGTGGCTTTCAATATGGTTATTATTTATTTAACTCAATGTGGAATTACTCATATTAATAATGATTGTGACTGGGAATAAGTGATGCGGAATTTCACTCGAGGAAATAATACTCGAGGTGCCGAGGACGACTGTGATGGAATACAATAGAGTAATTATTAGGGATCGACTCTACTGAAATTTTATATGTACGTATGTATTTTTCCCGGGACATCACGGGGTGGAAAAGCTGGGTTAGTTTTGCAGGACCGGCTCTGCAGGCTGTTGACCCACATGATTAAGATTGGAAATTGATCTCACACATACAATCTAATCATGGCACATGACTCACACATGTGTGCTAGGGACTAGTATATTAAGACTCGGAAAACTGACATATTTTATCGTGGTTGGTAACATTGTTCAAGAGTCATACGGATCTTTCCGGAAACAGGTGGAATAATAAAACACCTGGAAGTGGAGTCTATAAATAGGTCCATACCCTCTAGCCTCAACACGCATTGTGAGCGGCACCGCGGATAAAGCAGAGGAATTAAAGGGTAGACCGGATAGTCCATAATTTTCAACACTAATTAACTTACAGGGATCTCTTCTGCTTCATAGTAGTACTTGAGATCAAAAGGATCAGCAAACTTAAAATCAGATGCTAGTTGGTGGCAGTGAAGTGGACCTGACACCTTGTCGCGTGGGCTCTTGAGAGCTGTAGCTTGCAAGCTTTACTCAACCATTTTGCACTGATCAGAGGCTTCAGTTTGGCACTGACATTACCCCCAGACGAGAAACATTCACCGGCCACCACGACAACCATCTGCTCCAGCGCCCGACCTCTCTCCGCAATGAACTTGAGGAAAACAACCTCGCTTCTCGACCCACGGAACTCGTAGAAAAACACCTTCTTCATGCTCTGCACCACACATTTAGTGGGGCCGCCCTCCTGCCAGAACTTGATGTTGACCTTGCCAGTAGACTCTTCATCTACGCTGGACTGCAGATGAAATCGACACATACATAGTTCAGAACATATCATGCAGCAGCAGGCAAGCAATCATAGGATTAAGATTCATTTACATTTCTGACTTTCTGACCATGCTAGATATACGGGCACAAACTAGTATTGCAGAACTGTCAATACAGCAAGTGTATCTAGTTAAGGTAACCAATTTTACCTGGACATGGAGCGTCTCCAGGTTGGGGAAGCATCTGAGGAAGCCAGGCACTTTCTTGACAGCATTCCGGACACCGAATTGCACCTCCATGGCCAAAATCTGCACACTAGGCACAGTGTTCTCCTTGCTCCCAGCCTGCAATGCACACTAGGAACAGAGAAACCAGTTGAGATCATAAATTGGCATTATTAATTGACACTACACATGCAAATTAGATTAGGGTGGTGTTGCTAACCGCCAACTGTTGCTCTCCTGGCTGAAGATATCCCAGCACAAGCAGGTTTGGTGCACGCCCAATCTTGATCTTGGAAGAGAAGCTTGGGGCAGTGTCAGCGAGCTCGCTCTCGGAAAGATTATCCCGCTGGAAAAGCCTCTCCAGGCGAGGGACATTCACCACGTCGATGTCCTCCAAGAAGGTACAGCCCAGCTGAACGCACCGCAGGCTTAGGTTGACAAGGCGGAGGCGCAGTCCGCTCTGGCTCCCGATGATGACGAGGAACTCCAGAACGGGGCTTCTTTCAAGCATGAATGCTAGATCACGGTCCTCCATGACAGTAATGCAGAGGCCGAGCTCTAGGAGGTTGGGGAATCTGGCGCCGCGCGGCACGGCGACGGTGTCCGACAGTCTCCAGACGCCGAGATAGAGGCGGGTGAGGGAGGCGCAGCGGAAGATCGTGGCGGGGAGTCAGGATGGACACGGTCCGGGCCGGTCCGGTCCCGGTCCGAGCCGTCGTTTGGACCGGCCGCCGGCGGTCCGGACCGGACCAGACCGAGCATCATGACGGTCCTGATTTGAGGGACCGGACCGGCGGCGGCCAAGCCCGGGCCGGACCGAGCGGACCGGCCAACGACCATCGGCGGCGACTTGCACGGGTGCAGCGGCGAGGTCTGCGACGTGCGCGGGTGCTCTGGCAAGGTGCGCGACATGCGAGAGCGACGGCGGCAAGGTGTGCGACATGTGCGCTGGGCGACGCGCCTGTTATCCATGAACCAACACATATTTGTTCATTAGCAGTTTTTCTTATTGCATGCAAGTAATGTAGCCGTGTACGAGGCCACGATTTTCTGCTTGCGGGCCTTGCCGTGATTAGAGGATCAAACCTGACGTCGATTTATTCCTCAAATGGCGCCATGATTTTCGGATCAAACCGTGTTTCTCTCGTATTTTTGGTTTTCTGCTCGACTGAATAAAAGGAAACTGCAACGTGGGGTAATGGCCCATGATTATAGGAAGTGGACGCTATTATATCTACTCCTTGCCTTTCAAAGAATACTTGACTGAATAGTTGGATGCGAAAATCACGGCCGGTCGATAGTTTCTCCCAGATGGTGGCTTGCGTTACGTGCGTGCTGTGCTGAAACGGCTGCCATGGCAGCTCTTCGAAGAAAACTGTATTTTCTGATGAAACTGAAGAAAACTGTATTATCTGACGAAACTGAACTCTAACAGCTTACGGCTACATCTGACGAAACTGTATTTTGTGAAATTCCACAGCAGCTGTAAACTAGCATGGTCAACGGCGATCAGACGTGGAGGAGGCAGTCTACTACAGGCAGGTGAAGACGGCGACGGTCGACGACGGCGGGCAGGTGCAGCGCTCCCTAAACTGCTCCTCCACTACTCCTTTCGCACAAGTCGCCGCTAGGATTGTCGGTCTGCTCGGTCGGCTCGGTCAAAAACAGGACCGGACCGAAGCTTTCTCGGGCCCAATTCTTGAGCTCGGACCGACTAGTTATTTTACCGGGCCAGGACCGTCCGGTCCGGTCCTTCACGGGCCACGAGCCGGGCCAAAAGCCCACTTGCCACGTCCAGCCTGAGCGGGGAGGCACAGGTCAATCGGCCAAGGGCGGTTGACAAAGACGAGCTCTTGGACTCCCTTGGCGAGGACGGTGTCGAGCGAGCGCGACATCTCGTCACGATGCTCCTCCATGGTGGTGCGGGTGCGCCGCGAGGACGCGGGACACCGCGGCAGTGACGGCGCGGGGAGAGGGAGCACCGATGATGAACTGCCCGCGCACGCCGCCGTCCGGAAGCAGGTGGCTGTCGACGAGAGTGAGGGGCACCGAGCGCCAGAGGGGGCGCCAGCGCGAGGCGAGCGCGGCGGTGCGCGCGGCGTCCTTGGCGGGGAGGCGGGAGATGATGTCGCGGAGGACCACATCGGGGAGGCGGCTGATGGTCGACGCCGTCGGGGACCCAGGACGCGCCGGCGAGCGAGAGGGGTGCGGTGGGGGAGACGGGCGGGTCCGGGAGGTAGTGGTACACGAAGTAGAGCAGCAGGTTTGTGCCGACGTCCAGCGTCTCGGGGTCCGCGCCGTCGCGCTCCAAGCCGGCGAGCATGTCGCTCCTGCTGACGCCGATCATCGGGTCCATGGCCGCCGGTGAAGGGGAAAAGGGGGGCGACGGCGGCGAGGGTTTGGCCCGTGGAGTAGGGACGAGAAATGGGAGGGTTCGCCTGGGCCAAATGTGGGAAGCAGCTATTTTCTTGGCCCATGAAACAGCGTACGTTCAATTTGGATGACTTTCTTCACCTCAAAAACCCCTTTAAAAAACTCAAAAAAATTGGATGACTTTCTTCATAAAGAAATGATGATCCAGTTTGGTTCAAAAAACATGATGGTCTGATTTTACATTGTTTGGTTTTCTTTTTCTAGTTTTTTCCATTGCATCATTTATTAGAAATCCGAGGAATGATCAGCCAATGTATACACGAGCATTTATGGCCAGAGGTTTCATGAGCGAACAAGTGAAGTGACGCGAACCAATATGTGGTTGGATGGTTAGGTGGACTGTGGTATTCTCAGCCCATCAGGGTGTAAGTCCCGGTGCTTATTTCAGGATTTTCGCGATGCACGTTCTGTTGGAGGAGACGTTCCCGTCGACTACGAGGCGCCTATGGTGGTTTTATAAAATCTCAAAATGATATGTCGGCTCAGTCTTTCGAAGGTGCACATAGAGATAGAATATGTATGTGCATAGAGGTGAGTGTATATATGCGCGTATATATGAGTTTTTGCGTCTGTACTGTGTTAAAAAAAAGCAAGTGAAGCGACATCCCTGTAAACCCTTGTGCGTAAAATTTTCTTTTAAATACTCATTACCAATATTGAGATCAACGTCTGGGGGCATAATGTGAGCTCAACCAACAATGAATACTTCTTTTTTTTTTGAAGTAGAAGGTAGATCATGTTCTACCTTATATATTCCAAAAGGCTAAAAGGCGAAGCCAAGAAGCCTGGGACAAAAAGGTCACATACAAGGAGCTCATATTATGCACCGTGGTGCAAGGCCATGGGCAGCCCGAGCAGAGAACATAAGGTAGGGAGAGAGAGAGGCGGCAACAGAAACGTAGCCAAGCATAGCCTAAGCTAAGCTAAACTATGCCAACAGTGGCTGAGTCCAGCATAAGAGTGCATTTTTGTCTTCTGGGCTTCGAGCGCAGTGGCTCCAAGGGGATAAAAGCTGAGCTGCATACATCCTGGTGTAAGGCGGAGACCAGCGTTTATTGTTGAAAATCCGATCATTTCTAGCGTGCCAAAGAGTGACTAGAACAGCAGCAATCAGAACATGAAGCTTACGTGTAGCTGGCAGGCGCAGGTGAGCATGATGTACAAAAGCCAAAAGATCCACAGAGCTGAGGGCAACATCAAGAAGACCAAAAATCTCCCACAGGACAGAAGCAGCAGCACACCTCAAGGCTATATGACTGACAGACTCAATGGCTGGGCAGATGTCACAGGAAGCATGTGGGGCGATCGAAGACCATTGTTTTTTAGCCATGTTGTCCTGTGTATTCAAGCGACCCCAGTAGGCCAACCATATGAAAATTCTGTGTTTTAAGGGGACAATGGGATCCCAGACCCATTGTTGAAAGCTGCAGAAGACACCTTTGAAAGTCAGCAGGTGATAGAAGAAAGCAGTGGACATATCCTTGGCAAAGATGGGCGGCATTCGTTGATCCTGGTCCGAGGGGGATGGCTGGATATTGAGCAAGATACGACTGAGATTGGTTAACTCCCGAGAAGCCGTTTGGGAAAGATTGGGGTGCAAGTGAATATCCCAACCGTGATCAGAGAACTGGGAGGCAACAGTGCACCATGCATGCTTGGCAAAGGAAAACAAAACTGGGAACTCATGACAAAGACGGCCCACGGGTAACCATTTGTCCTTCCAGAAAGATATGTGATGCCCAGCCCCCAAAACGCAGCGGGAGGCAGCAGATACCAAGGGGATGAACTGCTTAAAGTTCTTCCAGAGCGGCGTGTCCCTGTAATGGCCAACAGAGAACAGCTGCTGCTTGCAATATTGCTCAGCGAACCATTGGAAGCAGGGGATATCAGACTATTGCAGGATCTTGGCTACAAACTTGCATAGCATGGCGGAAGCAAATTGTCGGAGAGCCATTTCCAGGGAAGACAACCCACGCCGTTCTTCCACCCCGTTGAGAAACTCAACAACATGCTTGTTGTTGTTGATGAGCAGCTCAAGGCTGGCCCTGTTCCGTTTCCATTGTCTAAGAGCAGCACGGATACGCCTCATTTTGAAGTTGATGAGTGAAGCGGACGAAAGAAAGGGACGAGTGCCCCTAGTCCAGCCATCCTGAATAATTCTACGCGTATCTTCCAAAACCAACCAGTGATTTTCCAACCGGAACAAGCTGCTTTTGTTAACTTCTTGGTTGAACTGTACAAGGATGGGCACATGATCAGAAGTGACGGTAGGCACAGCATCGGCAGAAGCATGAGCAAAAGCCAGCAACCACTCAGTGTTCACCAGCACTCTGTCAAGACGCACGAGCGTTGGGTTATCCCTTTTGTTCGACCAAGTAAACCTCCTGTTACTGACCTCAATCTCATCAAGGCCGTGCGCCCTAATACAGCCGTTAAACATATCCATCATAGCCCAGTTGATACGTCCTTGTGATTTTTCAGTCTGATAACGATACATGTTGAAATCTCCAACCAAGATCCAAGGAACATCGACTGTGCCAACTGCAGAATCAATAGATTCAAGGAAAGAGACTCTGTCCTGCTCCGAGCAGGGGCCGTATACCGTTGTGAGTAAGAAAACAGAGCGGCCTGAAGTTGATGACATTCTGACAGTGATGTGGTGTTTGTGCGCAGAAATGAGCTGCCCAGCAACCATGGAAGAGTCCCAGGCTACCAGCAAACCCCCAGACGAGCCAGCAGAAGGAGAAGCCTCATATTTACTACTTAAAATACGGTTTTGAAATGATGTCTACATGTTTTGGAAGTTCTCTCTATGAGTTGGAGGTACCATGAGGTGTGGGGACGTTACCTTCAGGAGATCGTAATGACATGTCAAGTTTGCAAATACAACTGTTTTACACCCGCCAAACCACCCATGTCACGCGATTGCTTGGCTAAACAGAGTCAGTGTGGAGAACACACGCCACCTTTAATGACATGTCAGTGGCATAGCCTTGATTTAAAAAAAAGGTAGGAAACTAACTTTATAAATAAAGCATGACAAAGATCCAACAAAATTTAGAACAACACAAATAAAGGATGAAAGTCACATACCGTGATACAGACCACGCATGGTCAAGAACTAGGCGCGCATGACGAAGGAAACAAGCAAAAGACTCAAACTTAGAGCAACTCTAGCAGACCCCGCATCCGCCCCCGACCCGTAAAATAACCGCCAAAATATGGGTACGGACCGGAAAGCCTGCCCGACCAGACCCTGCATTCCGCCTTGGCCCGCAAAAATTTTTAGGGGACGCGGCAAATTCCCGACCCCAACCCGGAAAAACGCGGGCTTCCCTCTCGCGGCTGCGGTGCCCTGCATCACAGAGAAGCTGTTGGCGGGAGGGACATTTCAGCCCCGCGCTCTTTTCCCCCTCCTTCTGCTGCCACCCGCTCTTGCTTCCGCCCGCCCACCGCCGGCGATTCCGGCCATATCTGCGGGCAGAATCGCTCCGCGGGGCCGTCCCACACCCTCCCGCGCCGAGCCGCTGCACCACCCCTCCGGATCCGGCGAGAAGAGTCGCCCCCAGTCGCCGCCGCCGCTGGGATCGACCACCGCCGAGCGCACCACCCTTGTCGCCGCCTGGGATCACTCGCCACCGGTTAGTCCCTTTTTTGTGATTTTTGCGAGCTATGTAGTAGATTGACGCGCCGGTGTGCATACAAGGAGATATAAGGAGATTGAGAATGCAGACACGCGCCGGTGTGTATTTGTATTCATGAAAAGTTTTGTATTGCCTTATTTTAAGTTTGCTACGGTGATTTGAATAATTTTTTGTAATGCGGATGATTATTGTTTTATGTTTGATTTGAATAATTCAGTTTGTTTTTGATTGTTGAATTATGTTGGATTTGATATTTGCGGGCTGATGATATGCGGGGATGCAGCGGCGCAAAGAGCAGAACCCGCATAGCCGACCTGTAAAAAAGCATATTCCGCGAATATACTTTTTTAGGATCCGTTTGGGGGGTCTGCATCTGTACCAGCCCGCACTGGCCCGCAAAAACTGTTTTGCGTGAACTGAAACCGTGTTTTGCGGGACGGCGTTTTGCGGGGTCTACTAGAGTTGCTCTTAAGCTCCAGGTCTAGAAGTTGAAGGGCCGAGGACGACAGCAAAAGCACGGATCTTGGAGATGGTCACAAACAAAGCAGTCGAGTCTGTGGCCTTAGCAAGCGGCATCCATTGCCGCAAAAGACCAACCATTTTGAACAGGCAATCAACAAGACAGTAAGGAAACATATGTTTAATAATAAATTAATTCCTACAAGTCCAAAAAGCCCTAGAAAAAGCAACAAAGGCTGGCCAAAATAACTGACGAAACTTAGCCATACTACCCTATAAGTAGGCATATAACTCTGACATAATTATTCGGGTTCTAGCTAACGTTCAACCACGATTGAACACAGCACCAGCCCAACTTAGCAAGGACACAACTAAAAACAATATGTTCTGTGTTTTTTGTCTCCCCACAAAGAGCACAGCCTGCCGAGGTGAGGGAGTCTTGGATTCGGAGGTTCTCGGGTGTCCGGGTTGTGTGATATGGGCCGGACTGATGGGCCGTAAAGATACAAGGTAGAAGACCTTTCCCCGTGTCCGGATAGGACTCTCCTATACGTGGATGACAAGATTGGTGTCCGGATATGTAATTTCCTTCTTCTGCGAACTGACTTTGTACAACCCTATGCCCCTCCGATGTGTATATAAACTGGAGGGTTTAGTCCGTAGAGGCTATCAGAATTCATATAGGCTAGACATCTAGGGTTTAGCCATTACGATCTCGAGGTAGATTGATTCTTGTAACCCCTATACTCATCAAATACAATCAAGCAAGACGTAGGGTTTTACCTCCATTAAGAGGGCCCGAACCTAGGTAAACATCGCG